CGCTCGCGGTGGTGACGCGGCGCATCTCTGCTGCTCACGAGGTCTCAGGACCGATCACATGATCTTCAGGTCCTCAAAAAAGGTTTTAAATGTGCTCGGAATAAGACGCCGTGCTTCCTTCAGTCACAGTGCTGACCTCCAGAGGAGAGGATCCAGCTGCTGACACATGTTCGCGTAAACGTGTTTAGGGTCTCTGCTCACCGCGGGAATTTCAAAGCATAAAAGTTGGATGTCACCGGCTAACGACTCGAGGTCGAACGCTGACGTGTCCTCAGAGTCTCTCTGACAGCGCTGCAGTGATGTCTTACTAAACGTTCTCTAAGAACCCTCTTTATCACCTTTTAAGTACGTGTTTAAGCGTCACGCCGCCGTGTTTTTTAAAGTTGGTCTGAGGTTTGTGGGCGTGCAGCAGGGAAACGTGTTAGCTGACCTCTGAGCTGACAGGAAGTTCACACGAGCCAAACGCTCTTTGAACGTCAGTGCGGCGAATGTCTGTTATCATTGAGCTCAGCACCAGCAGCTGAGGCTCATGGGTAGTGTAGTCAGTAAGTGTCCGCTGTGATGAGCTTTAAACCACAAACACGGTGAGAGCGAGCGGAGCGGCGCTCTATCCTGGGGATACAGCAGGAATCCTGGATCAGGAATATCGGACTTCGAGCAGACATGGAGACGCTTCCATAAATCACATACATCATTCATCTGTTTTATTCCCTCACTCATTCACACCTCCCCTCCTTGACCTCACTCCCCTCTGATTGGCTCCTTTTGTCCCAGACATGTAAATAAATCACCTGCACAGGTACATCGTCTCACCTGTCGTGTTATTTACATCAGTAAGCCTGCAGTCCGAAAAAGCTCCTGAGTGATTATTTTAACACAGATTCATGTCTCTGTGTTCTTACGTCTCGCAGCAGCTCCACGTCACCGCAGTCAGCTGCAGCTGTCTGTGGCGAGGTGTGTGACGTGTCTCTGTGTACGGCTCAAACATCCTTAGTGGCATTTGAATAAAACTCTGACTCCTGCCTGAAACAAGCTGAGTGCAGTCTGTGCTGCTGCAGATAAAAGCCACACACAGAAACCAGCGCTCAGCTGTGTTTGTGTTGTTCTTGTCTGCGCCAGCAGGGGGAGACAAAAGCACCCAAACTGCAGCTTTAACAGGTGAGGACAGGTGAGAGCCGGACTGTAACTACTATCATCGACGAACCATCAGGTCATCGATCAGAATCAGCCATGATCAATAATCTGATCACATACAAATACAAACTATAAAAGTGCAGACAAGAGAACAAAGGCTCCTGACGTCAGTGAAAACGAGCAAACGTCAAACCACGTGACTGTGCGCAAATCTTTAAATGTGATCGTGTTTGGAGCACACAGGAGGAGGAGCCGGGGGAGGAGCAGCGGAATTATACAATGACCTCAGGCTCAGTGGAAGCCAATCAGAGCCCGCGGAGCTCCGTGAAAACAGAGCGCACATGGCTCGGTTTGCCGGTCCATGTGAACCGGCAACGGGC